GTGCAATGAGGGCAAATTTAGGTATAAATTGTCAATAAAAGTTTGCAAAGCCCAAAAACCTTTGTACCTGTCTTCTTGTTTGTGGGATTTTCCATTCTATTACAGTTTTTACCTTCATGGGATCCATCTCCAATCCTACATTAGAGATTCAGTATCCCAGGTAGTCTAGTTTTGTACAATGGAACTCACACTTAGATAATTTGATATATAATTTGGCATTCAATAATTTAGTTAATACACTCCTCACCAATGGATATGTTCTTCCATAGTTTTTGTGTAAATAAGTATATCATCTAAATATACTAGCACCCCACGGTATAAATGTTCCTGTAGTACACCATTAATAAGTTGCATGAACACCACAGGGGCCCCTTGTAATCCAAAAGGCATTACTCGGAATTGATAGCTTCCGAGGGGACAATTGAATGTTGTTTTCCATTCATCCTCAGGTCTTATTCTCACTTGATAATATGCCTCGCGCAACTCTAATTTAGTAAAGAAATGTCCAGTTGATAGGGTAGCCAACAACTCACTGATTAATGGTAATGAGTACAGGTTATTGATGCAGACCGTGTTAAGTTCTCTAAAATCAACACACAAACATAGGCCACCATCTTTTTTTCACAGAATTGTACAGGGGCAGCTATTTGCGATTGCCCGGCTTTAATAAATCCCTGAGCTAAATTCTTGTCCAGAAAGTTCCACATTTCTATCATTTCTTTCGGTGTCATTGCATATGTTCGGGGTTTTGGCAATTTTGCCCCTGGAATCAGCTCGATAGCACAATCTGTTGGGCAATGTGGTGGTAGAATCTCACACTTTGTCTCACTAAATACTTCCGCCAAATCCTGATATACTGATGGAAAACAGGAACTACTATGTTCAAACTAATGGGCTCCACCCTTAAACTCTGCTGTTGTACTTCTGGTTCTTCATGTGGCGGTTCTGGGTCCTATAGTAAGTCTCAGCCATCTAAAACCTCCTTCCCACCAAATGGTGGATTTCCAACAATCCAACCATACTAAACCTAAAATAACTGCCTTTCGTATTTCCGATACGACAATGAATCTTAATAGTTCCCAATGGGTTCCATTTTCTAATCGAATAGGAATGGTCATCATCAGAGCTGGCACTCCCCCTAACAATGACCCATCAACCTGCTCGAACTTCATAGGGGTAGGAAGGGGTTCTAATGGTACATGCAGTTCATCTACCACACATTGACTAATCAGACATCTGGTACATCCGTTATCTATCAGTGCTCCGTATCAGCCTCTAATCCCTACATTATCTAATACTATGGGTATTGTAAATGGTCTAACAGGAGAGCTTACCATGGGGTCTTCTTGGCTGTCATCACCGCTATCATACAGTCCTGACAAAACTCTCAGCTGCCGCAGTTCACTGTATTGCTTCATCTCAAGTGTGGCCGGAGCTACGGATGGTTCTTGTTGTGTGACACCCTGTGATTTTTCACGACTACTAACTCCCCTGCCACTATATCCAATTTGTGAAACATTTCCGGAAGGACCTCTCGCTGTTTGCTTCATATGTCCTGTATCTATCGTAGGGCATTCAAACGCCCATAGTCCTAATATGTTACAACACAAACACCTTAGATTTAGGTTGGGTTCTCTCTTTTTTTAAAGAAAAATCCTTTCTATCCATCATTTCTCATTCTCTTGGAAGCTACATTTCTCCTCTTTTTAGCTTGCCTCCCATATTCCTCCCTTGGGTCTTTATATCTTTCATAGTCAACCAAAGCTTTATTTCCCTCCACAATATTTTTTTGCTCCAGTCCACCCATAGGCCTGCCAAATTCACTCTATCCCTCTTTACTCGCTGCTTGAAAGTATTCCAAAGAGTCACTTTTATGGATTAAATTTCTTGTGGGAAAATCTTTGACAAAAAGTTAAAGATCACATCACCCAGTTCCGATCACTGTCCACTCTCATCGCTCCAGCACATTCTTTATGGTGGCCATATTGGTCGCCTCACCTTCATCAGAGAGTGGGAAGAAGCCCTGGGTCCAGCAGGAGAGCTACCACCCTCTGCAACTAGCAGGGTGCCCCTCCTTGTTAGTCACTCCTACAGAGTGAATTTAGCCCCCTTGCAGGCCCTCCAACGAAGAAGATTCGGCGTGGGGATGTGGAGCCTTGCTCCTCTGTGCTGATCACTGTGTGACATCAACTGGAAGGAAAGTCTTCAGGGCTGCCACAGCAAGGCTGGTTGGAGCTGTGGGAACAGGAGTGGGGAAGAGAGATAGCTGGGGATCTGTAGCCAAAATAAAATTCATTCTCCTGGGAACCAAGGACGTTCTGACCAGTTGCTGGGGAGACATGGACTGAAACCAGCTGGTATTAGTACTGTGACCTGGTTGGACCATGTGATGGACATGTGGACTGGGGAGAAGAACTTTGATTTTTAATTTGGGTGGGGAAAACCTTGGGACCGTCAGACTTAGGTTTTCACCAGATGTGCCAATATGGTATGCCTAATAAATCTGGATTTTGAGGAGCAGTTTGGCCTCGGAGTTTTGATTGCGTTGGGTCTGTTACTTGGAACCCTGACAAGAGCTGCTTTATCACGAGGCAATTGGACTTTCTGGTTTTTCTTTGAAGACGTTTCGCTTCTCATCCATGAACCTTCCTCAGCTCTGACTGGATGGTGGGGGATGGAAGGATTCCTGGTCCTTGCAGACAGACGGTTATTTGCATTCTTTTGGAGGGTCTTGGAGGCCACCTGGAGGTTGATCTGTGTCCTCAGGGTGGAGCCTTCATGGCTGCAGGATGTTTTCTGTCCTGTGTCCCTTCACTGTTCAAGACAGATGAGTCTGTTTTGCCGACATCTCAAATTGAAGCGAAATGCTTCCTTTAATTTTTCTGGAAATCCATTGATATGACCTGGCTGACTGAGAATCTCCATAGGCAATTGGTGCTAGACTTTGAATTGCTAAGAAGGGATGGAACACCAATACCATGCTGGTTAGCTGAACGTGGAAGGAAAAGAAACTAAGATTCCAGCAGAGACAAGGGACCAAGCTTCAGTGTTACACCTCTAATTTGCAGAGGCAGGTTTTGAGAAGTTATCCTTCGCACGCACACCTCCCCCCCGCCCCAGAAGAAAAGCTATTGGAAACCAAGGGAGGTGCACACTGTCTTTTCCTATTTGCTCATCACTTCTAGATCCCTCCTCCAAAAGGGAGCTTTCCTTTGGTTTAGTTGCTGGTTCTGGCAAACGAAGCTTCGGGCTCAGGTCCAGGGACAAGGAGTGTCCTCTTGGGGGACCTGAAAGAAAAGGTTTTGGGATGGACACTCGGGGAGAAAAGCTACTGATGAGCTCGATGAGAGTCAAATAAGACTAGATGGCACTTAAGGAAGCCCAGAATCAATGAGAACATCTTCAAATGCCTTAGGGTAGCATTCCAACTAACAAACTCCAAACCAATAAACTCTGAGATAAGCATTTTCTCAAAGGTCCATTTTGTCAGAATTGTCATATTGGCACATCTTTGCTAGGCAGAAAATGTGGCAGCTTCGAAGCTCCCAAGTTATATATGGCTTGCAAGGCTGACAGGCTTCTCCTCCCCCCTCAGGAAAGAATGACATCCTGGAACAAAAAGAAATCAGGGTTAATCAGCATATACACCAATTTATTAACCACCTCTCCTGCACCCCCAGGAGGACGTTTTGGCTTTTCTGGGAACTTATCATGAAATTTTTTTACTAATCCATCAGCTTTTACATTCCAACTCTACCCAGGTAGCTTCTGACAAAGGGCACCCCTTCCAGTGCACTAAATATTTGTAACTGTCCCATATACAGTCTAGAATCAAGAATTTTCTTGACTTCATAGTGGATTTCAACTTGTACTACAACTGGTTTGGGGGGAGTAGCTGCTGGAGGTCTCAATCTTGAACTGGCATCTGGTTTCAATAAGCTGTTGTGAAAGACCTGGACAGCCCCCATTATCGACATGCTGCTTGAAGATTTAGAGATTCAGGTTAATATCAGCATTCCAACTAACAAACTCCAAACCAATAAACTCTGAGACAAGCCTTTCCTCAAAGTTCCATTTTATTAGAGTTGTCATATTGGCACATCTGGGAAAACCCACATCTGAGAGCTCTGGGTTTTCCCTTCCCAATAGAAAGTCAAAGATTCAACCCCTGCAACCACTAGCGCATCACATAGTCCAATCAGACACAGTCCCAATGGAGACATTCCTTGAGCCACTACTCTCCAGGTGCAGAGTAACCCGTCCTTCTCCTAGAGAAGAATTTTGTTGTGTCTAATCGTCCACCTCTCTATGAAATCTCCCCTCCCAATTTCCCAGGGAGAAAAATATGGCCGCTTCCAAGCTCCCAAGTAATATACGGTTTCCAAGGCTGAGAGCATGCTCTTCCGCCATGTGTCGCTAGATGGCGCGCCACAGGGAACACTCGATACAGCGGCAACTGAGCTATTCTAGGGAAGGGGCAGAGGCTGAGATTGAACGGGTTGAAACAATAAGAGTAATGGATTGCAACAGCAGATGTGGAGACGAGGAGGTGAAGGGCAGAGGAAGTTCCTCTTCCGCCTCAACCACGGGAGGATGCATCGGCGGAGCCTCTTGTGCTGTTTGGAGGGTTGAAGCGGCTCCTGGGAGGTGAGTGGAGGGCAGGTTGGAGGAGACGCCAGGAGCAAGTCAGGCCCTTTGGGTTCCTCCATGGCATAGATGCAGAAGAGGAAGCAACAAGGCTGAAACGTGTTGGCTGCAGTTTTATATCCTTTCCCATCCTAAATTTTATTCCTCTGCACCATTAAAAACTTCTGCCTGTGACTTTCTCCCTGCACATGGCAGATTTGGGAGATTTAAAGAAATCTTTACACATTTTTCACATTTCTTAACCCATCTCCTTCACACTTCCTGAAATGATTCCTTGAGATTTTATTGACCATGTTCTTTTGATGGCAAGCGAGGAGTTTCATGGGTGAAACAGATGCTTTAAATCTAGTATAGTATTTGGGCATCATATTGACCTATTAGTGTCCCCACCTTTCTAACATTAGGTCAAAAACAAAATGAGCAAATGTACTTCTGGAACATTTTATACACTGAAATACACATATATTGTCTACATTCATACATTGATAGGTTTATATTTATGTGCATGTAGGAGTGATTTACCCATGTTGAAAAGAGAATCTTACGATTGAGTCGATATTTGATCTTGGATCTTGCTAGTTGTCTATTTCTCAAATGAATCATAATTAATTTTAGAGGTGAAACCAGAATTCTGATTTTTCTTTATTCATGAATATGGTGGGGGTTTTTTGGTTGCTTTCACATTTTCTGCAGCTATCTTTTAAACAATAATAATAAAACTAACCCATTAAGATGAATGCACCTGTAAAACTGCTGCCTTAACGTTCTGCCGGTAGATTTGGGACATTTAAAGAAATCTTTACATACTTTTCATAATTGGTAATCATCCATCTCCTTCAGCCTTCACATAACACTTGATTTCTGTTATTGACATGTTTTTTTCCTGGCAAGGAGGAGTTTCATGGGCAAAATAGATGCTTATGATTGAGTCAATATATAGAATAGAATAGAATAGAATAGAATAGAATAGAATAGAATTAGAATAGAATAGAATAGAATAGAATAGAATAGAATAGAATAGAATAGAATAGAATAGAATAGAATAGAATAGAATAGAATAGGTTTATTAGCCAAGTGTGATTGGACATACAAGGAATTTGTCTTGGTGTAAATATTCTCAGTATACATAAAAGATACATTCATCAAGAGTCGAGAATCATAAGGTACAACATTTAATGATAGTCATAGGGTACAATAAGCAATCAATCATACTAGGAAACAGTCAATATAAATCGTAAGTATACCAGCGACAAAGTTAGAGTCATACAGTGGGAGTGGAGGGGTGATAAGGAGTGATGACAAGATTAACAGTAACAGTAGTGCAGACTTTGTAATAGTTGGACAAGGTTGAGGGAATTATTTGTTTAGCAGGGTGATGGCTTTGGGGGAAAAATGTTCTTGTGTCTAGTTGTTCTGGTGTGCAATGCTCTATAGCATCATTTTGAGGGAAGGAGTTGAAATAGTTTATGTCTGGGATGTGAGGGGTCTGTAAATATTTTCACAGAACTCTTTTTGACTTCTGCAGGTCCTCAATTGAAGGCAGGTTGGTAGTAATTGTTTTTTCTGCAGTCCTAATTACTTCAGTCTATGTCTGTCCTGTTGGGTTGCAGAACCAAACCAGACAGTTACAGAAGTGCAGATGACAGACTCAATCATTCCACTGTAGAACTGGATCAGCAGCTCCTTGGGCAGTTTGAGCTTCCTGAATTGGCGCAGAAAGAACATTCTTTGTTGTGCTTTTTTGATGACGTTTTTGATGTTAGGTGTTTGATGTTTTGATGTTAGGCGTCCATTTTAGGTCCTGTGATATAGTAGAACCTAGAAATTTGAAGGTCTCTACTGTTGATACAGTGTTCTCTGGTATTGTAAGAGGTGGTAGTATGGGAGGGTTTCTTCTAAAGTCTACCACCATTTCTATGGTTTTGAGTGTGTTCAGTTCCAGATTGTTCCGGTTACACCATGAGGCAACTTGTATAACCTCCTGTCTGTATGTGGATTCGTCGTTGTCTCGAATGAGACCAATAACTGTTGTGTCATCAGCAAACTTCAGTATTTTAACAGATGGATCGTTTGAGATGCAGTCATTGGTATATAGGGAGAAGAGAAGTGGAGAAAGCACACAGCCTTGTGGGGGGGGGGCTGTGCTGATTGTACAGGTATGGGATGTGATTCTGCCTAGCCTCACCTGCTGCTTCCTGTCTGTTAGGAAGCTTATGATCCACTTACAAGTGTGTTCAGATACCACTAGTTGGTTTAATTTATTTATAAGAGTGTCTCGAATGACGGTATTGAATGCTGAACTGAAGTCTACAAAGAGGACGCTTGCGTAGGTATTTGGAGATTCAAGGTGTTGTAGGATGTAATGCAGAGCCATGGTAACAGCATCATCTGTCGATCTATTTGCTCGTATGCAAACTGCAGGGCATCTAGCAGTGGATCCGTGATGGTTTTCAGGTGGGACAGAACAAACCTTTCAAAGATTTTCATAACTACAGGTGTTAGAGCAACTGGTCTGTAGTCATTCAGCTCCTTGATGGAGGGCTTCTTTGGTACTGGGATGATGGTAGAACATTTGAAGCAGGAAGGAACATAGCACAACTCTAGTGATCTATTGAAGATTCGGGCCAATTGGTCAGCACAGACTTTTAAGCAAGAAGGAGTTATCTTGTCTGGCCCTGGTGCTTTTCCTGACTTCTGTCTATGTAACAGATCTTGCACTTCTTTTTCTGTGATCACCAGAGGTTGTGAGCTCAATGGATTGGGGCCAGTTGTAGGAGGCTTGGCTGCTGTTGGTGCTTTTGAGATGGGGGTTGTGGAGATAGGTGGCTATAGTTTCCTTTCAAACCTGCAGTAAAACACATTCAGGTCATCTGCTAGTTGTTGATTTCCTTCTGCCTGAGAAAGAAATTTGCTGAAGCCAGTGATGTTTTTAAGTTTCCACATGTTTGCTGGTTCATTTTTGAGAACCGATTCCTTAACTTTTCAGAGTAGATTCTTTTTGATGCTTTGATCTCTCTTGTTAATATGTTTCTGGCCTGGTTATATAGCATTCTGTCACCTCTTCTGTAGGCTTCCTCTTCTTTAAGCAGATGTAGCTGCTTAAGTTTAGTTGTGAACCAAGGTTTATTGTTACTATATACTTGCAGGTTCCTTGTTGGTACACGTAAGTCTTTGCAGTATGATGTTACAGTATCTGTGAGCTCATCTAAATTTGCAATCAGTGCAATCAAGGCAGGTCTGGAGTTTCGGCTTTGCCTCATCCGGCCAAGTCTTCACTGATTTAATTGTTGGTTTCATGGTTTTAAGTCTTTGTCTGTAGGCAGATACAAGGTGAATCAGGCAGTGGTCAGAGTGTCACACAGCTGCTTGTGGTAAAGATCTATAAGCATCTTTTACTGTTGTGTAGCAGTGGTCTAAAGTATTTTTGCCTCTGGTGGGACAACTTACATGCTGGAAATATTTTGGGAGCTCTTTCCCTAAATTTGCTTGATTGGAATCTCCTAAAATGATGGGAAGGGAACCTGGGTGTTTGGCTTCAGCCTTCATAATTTGATCAGCAAGAGTTCATAATGCCTTGTTTACACAGGCTTGTGGAGGAACATACACAGATATTAGGAGAAATGAGGAGAACTCACGTGGAGAATAAAATGGCTTGCAGTTGATATGTAAAGACTCTGTTTTCATCGGAGAACTTACATATTATAGTTATATCCTGAGACCAGTTGTTGTTGATATATAAACATAATCCTCCACCCTTTGTTTTACCTGATGTCTCTTCAATTCTGTCTGATCTACATGTCTGAAATCTTGGGATGTATATGGTGTTGTCCCCATGAATTTGTGGATTAAGCCAGGTTTCAGTGAAACAAAGAACAGTTGAATTGTAAAAATCAGAATTCCATCTATTTAAGAGATGAATTTCATCCATCGTTAGCAAGTGAGCGTAAATTAGTCAGAAAGGGAGAGGAGTTCCCCCACCCATTCCTTAAACTGAACTTGAATCTTGAAAATTGAACTTGGATCTTGTTACTTTTCCATATTCCAAATGAATCATAAGCAATATTAGAGACTAAAATAGAGTTTTGATGTTTGTTTGTTTTGTGCTAATATATGGGGAGGGTTTTTTTTTTGCTTTTATATGTGCTGCAGCCATTTTTTCAATAATCATTAAACTAATCCATTTATATTACTCTTACAGAGAGAGAGAGAGAGGATGCCAAAAAGAGCACTCTGGACAACAGAGAATGAGAAGCAGCATTAAAGTGCAAAATAAGCCATTATACAAAATATTTTCCAATTCCTCTGGAAAGTTTAAAAACTACTCTTCCTCAGCAGATGAGAGATGAGGGAAAGAATAACGAGAATAAAGTTTTGAGGTGGAAAAAAATAGAGCACACAGAACTGAAAAAAACATTAAATGATAAATCAAGGAGGATAATATTTAAATAAAGAAAAAGTGAGAAACAATTTGAAGTTAGTAGGAAGAAAAAGGTTCCATGTATAGCCAGAATTAGCAGGCATTAAGTAAAGCCTTTGAGGAAGGAAAGAATGGCTTGAACCAAACAAACACCAGGTGAGAGATCAGAATTTCAACCTGATGATATACCAGAGGATTCACACTGGAGAAAAACCATATCAGTGTCTGGATTGTTAAACCTCTCCATTTAACATGCACTTGCCAGTGGTGGGGTTCTACCGGTTCGGCCTGGTTCACATGAACCGGTAGTAAAAAAAGCTACCTTTTGGCTGAACCGGTATTTTTTTTTCCTTCCAAAGATCAGCTGTGCCAACGATGAGCTGTGCCGGGATCCCACTTGCTGTGTAATGCTTCATCCAGGAGGCTTCGCTGAAGCTCAGAGGAGGCAAAAAAAGGTTGTGGGGTGTTCCATTTTTTCTCTTCCTGGGCCTCGGCAAAGCCTCCTGGGAGAAAATCCGCCTTCCCAGGAGGCTTCCCTGAGGCCCAGGAAGCCAAAAAAACAGAGCGCAGAGGGGTGCTGCTGCACACATAAACACACAAAAAAAGAAGCCACAATGCCCACTCTGTCACATAGCCACCTAGCCACTCCCAACTAGCTACGCTCACAGAGCCAGTAGTAAAACTATTTGTATCCCACCCCTGGTACTTGCTGCGCAAATGCAGCACACTTCTATCAAGGTTGGTGGCGATTGGATGGTCTGGGAATTCCAAAAAGGTGATACTTGCTTTTGTTCCAATCAGAAGTTAACCAGGCCTCCTGGCCTTACTAACTACATTCATGTCTGGTGTTGCCATATCATGACACATCAGTAGGAAGTCACGTACACAGAAAACCCAATACACATACAATACACATATAGGGCGACACTATGGAACAGCAACGTGTAAAATGAGAATTGGCTATAGCATAAGGTGTAGCCTTATATGGCAATATTCCCTATTCCTGTCTAATTTCCTCATGTGTAACATAAGCCCCCCCTGCTTGCTGCACAATAAAAGAGAGGTGCGTAGTACTATCTGGGTTTCCTCTCACCAAAAGAAACCTTTGTGTTGCTGTCATCTTTGCCACTAAGAGGAGCCCGCCCGGACAGTCAGCCCGGGTGCAGGTCATCAGCTGACTAATTCATCCCGGTAGTGGGACCCGCAACGCATCAGTCTGGTGCTATATCTTCTCCAAACGGGTAATCTTTCTCCTTGGAAAGAGTTGAATTGGAGAAGTTAATTACAGGATTAGCGGGAAATAAATTTTTTAATTAAATTCGTAGAGTGCTTCAAGGAACCTGTACAAGGACAGCCAAAGCGCGACCATTTTTTCGATTCATCTTTTTCCTCTAATTTATTTAAAATATTTATGTTGCCCTTCATTTTATAACAAACTGGCTGACTCCCAATCAATAAATAAAAACCGTATTAAAACTAAATGCGTAAAAATAAACACCGTATTTCAATTCAAGCTTCTGATATGCAGTCCTCACTTCTTATTAACCCAGTGCTTAGTGGAAAAGCTAGATCTTCTTTGCTTTTTGGAAGAGCAGGAGGATTAAGGCCTGCAAGGGGAAGAGTGTTTCATAGGGAAGAGTCTGCAATGGAAAAGACTCACTTCCTAGATCCTATCAGATGGCAATATTTAAGGGGAGGGTCTAGGAACGTAGCCACCCTATCTGACCTGGTAAAATAAATGGATGCAAGAATAATAAAGGTGGGAGAATAGTGACAAATGCTCTGGTGGCTCAGTGGTTAGAATGCAGTATTGCCAGCTGACTCGGCCCACAGCCTGGAGTTTGTTCCTGACAGGGCTTGAAGTTGACTCTGTCTTCCATAACAGATAATCAGAGTTGGAAGGGACTTTATAGGTCATCTAGTTCAATCTCCCGCCCAAGCGGGAGACCCTACACCATTTCTGACAAATGGCAGTCCAATCTCTTTTTGAAAGTCTCAAGTGATGACGCTCCCACAACTTCTGAAGGCAAAGCTGTTCCATTGGTTGATTGTTCTCACAGTCAGAAAGTTTCTCCTTATTTCCAGGTTAAATCTCTCCTTGTTCAGTTTCCATCCATTATTCCTTGTCTGGCCTTCAAGTGCTTTAGAAAATAGCTTGACCCCTTCCTCCCTGTGGCAGCCCCTCAAATATTGGAAGACTGCTATCATGTCTCCCCTAGTCCTTCACTACACCAGCCATACCCAGTTCTTGTAACTGTTCTTCATATATTTTAGTCTCCAGTCCCCTAATCATCCTGGTTGCTCCTCTATGCATATTTTTCTAGAGTCTCAACATCTTTTTTATAATGTGGTGACCAAAACTGGATGCAGTACTCTAGGTGTGCTCTTACTAAAGCTTTATAGAGTGGTATTAGTACCTCACATGATCTTGATTGTATCCCTCTGTTAATGCAACTTAGGACTGCATTAGCTTTTTTGGCTGCTGCTGCACACTGCTGACTATTATTTAGCTGGTTGTCCACTAAGACTCCCAAGATACCTCTCACAGTTACTGCTATCGAGCCTGGTTTCACCCAGTCTATATGGATACTTTTGGTTTTTCTTGCCTAAGTGTAGGACTTTACTTAAGTGTAGGTGTTCCATCTTTTTGAGATCGGTAAAACGAGGACCCATATTTTGGGCGACAATATTCTGACACTGTAAACTGAGAATGCTCTAAAGCACTGTGGGTGGTATATAATTCTAAGAGCTATTGTTATAATAAATAACTGTAAAGGTGATGACCAGTATCTTCAATTGCACCTTAAAGAAATGAATCCAGCGCAGCTCTCACTACAAAGATGCTACACGGGCAATCTAGGGACTCCGATTACTGTGTGGGCTGTTGCATTCTGGACCAGTTGACGTTTCTAAGGACCCGGGGTAGTAATCCCAACGGAGGTGACCAAGGCATGAGTGAGCCACTGTGCAAGGCCTCCCGGTCTGGGAAAGGGAACAATTGCTGCACGGGATGAATCTGTGCAAACCCCTTACCCAGCCATGGCCCCCTCAAGCAGGAAGCATGATTGCAGTAGGACCCCCAGTTGGTGCACTAACTCAAGTCACAAAAGGTGATCACATGACCCCAGGACACTGCAACTGTCATAAACCTGAGTCAATTGCCAAGTGTCCCTATTTTGATCATGTGACTATGGGGATGCTGGAATGGTGGTAAGTGTGAAAAATCTTTTCAGTGCTGTTCAAGGGTGGGATTCGACCAGTTCGCACCTATTCACTAGAACTGGTTAACATTCTAAGCAGTTTGGAGAACCGATTGTTAGAAGAAATTACTGGCCTAATCCTGTAAGGAAGGCAGGAAGGAAACATTCTGGTGTTGCTTACAGAAACTACCTCTCCTTTAACCCTTATTACATTCTTGGAAGGACTAGACTTCCTGTCTCAGGAACTTCTCTGGAGTTTTTTTCCTTCCTTTGCTGGTACTTTGCTTGTGTGGACCATTCAAAGTTACAATGGCACTGAAAAAAGTGACTTATGACCATTTTTCACATTTACAACTGTTGCAGCATCCCCACAATCATGAGAGGCCAGGCGAGAAGATGCGTGCCACAATGTGAGTGATGTTGAATTGGCCACGCCCAACCAGTCACATGACCACCAAGCCATGTCCATAGCTAAGCCATGTCCACAGAACCGGTTGTTAAAAAATTTGAATCCCAACCCTGGTGCTGTTATAACTTCAAATAGTCACTAATGAAATGTTATGTCCAAGACTACCTGTACTTAATCGTGTATCATAGTATGGATGGCTTTTGCTAGTGCAGTGGTGGCTTACCTTTTTGGGCTCCTGTGCCAAAACGTGTGTGCATGTTTGCACACTAACACTCATGTGCCAGAACCCAGAAGGCAATGCATGCCCCCCTCCATGTCCCCTATACACGTGCGTGCAATCCCCCACCCACTCACCCCGCTGCCCCCTTACTTGCACTGCACCTCACAGCTGATTTTTGGCCAGTTTGGGGTCTTTTTCAACCTCCCAAAGTCTTGAGGAAGGCTTCTGCAGACTTCTACAAGCTTTGTAGGCCAAAATCTAGGCCCGTTTCGTTACTTCCTGTTTTTCTGAAAAAGTGATAAAACAGGGTAGGATTTCAGCCTACACAGCTTGCAGAAGCCTTCCTCAAGCCTTTGGGAGGCCGAAAAAGGCCTCAAACCGGCCGAAAATCAGTTGTGAGGCGCGCAGTGAGGTAAGTTTACCTGCAGCTCGCATGCCGGCACAAATGGCAGGTAGCACACATGCCATAGGTTCGCCATCACGGTCTTAGTGGTTTCAGGTAGTTGTTAACAAGCAGCAGTGAAAGGCTTGAGCCCTGAGGCACCACAAATTGCAGGGGTCAAGATTCAGTTCCTCTTCTACCCACACGGACTGGAACCAGGCATAGAGGTAGAAGAAGAATGATCATAATAAAGCTCCTCCCATTTCCTGTCTCCAAAGCTTGGACATTGGAGGCTATGGTTATTTTGATTGAAACTTAATGAGGTTTAGGAGGGACATAATGACTGTATGTCTTCTATCCCAACCTCTCCAGAAGTCCATGACAGTTGCAACCAATGCTGTTTAGGTAAAGCGTTCTGCCCTGAAGCCAGACTGAGGAGGGCCCAGTGTCTTTCCTGCTGCACAGCCCTTTCTCCAGGTGGCAAAGTCAGAGCTGCAAGCAGAGGGCGAGTTGAAGTCCCAGGCTGCCAACCTTTCATTGCCCTCTTCAGCTGCACTTATAAGTGATCTTAATCTGCAGCAATGCCTTGAACTGCGCTGCCAGGAAAACCTCTCACGATTTTCTTATGCATAGCAAACTGCTGTTGAAGGTATAAAGCCTGCTTGGATGCTAACTCTCCTGAAGGGAGAGGAATTACTCTTCCAGCCCTGTTTTGCACTTGTGAAAGAAATAGGGGTGGTTC